CCAACACTTTTATTGTTTCTAAAATCATAAATTAGATCGTTTTTTCTGTCAATTAAGTAGGGGAAGTTCTTGCCTATATTACAAAAACGCATAGAACTTGTGAATTGCCACATTATACAAAATCTAAATTTTAAGTATGTGTATGTGTATATGTGTATGTATTTAAAACCCTTGGCATTCTTGTTAATTCATACATTTGTGCAAAGTGCGTATGCACTTAAGAGTCTTACTGATTTTAATGCAGCTGTCAAAAACTGCACCAGTTGGCTGGTCTGCAGTCTTGCTGAAAAGGTTTCAATGAGCAGATCATCCTCAAGCTTCATGCTCCTGTATCTGGTAACAGTGGATTTAGATTGTGTGAGCTCTGTAGGATAGATGTATGGGCGATGCATTAGACAGGTAGATTGTACAGAGAGTGGGTATAGTTTACTCCATTATGTATTCAGATACACAGTAATATATTATAGATGGTTGGATAGGGGACATTTCTTAAATACCTTTTTGTGCATGAAAAAGGTAAGGCAAGGACATGAAGAGTAAAGCTCTGTTAACACTGCCACTGCATAGAAGGATGTATCTGAGATTTCAGTAAGATGCTGTTCAACCTCACAGGACTCTTGAGGCCTCATCACAAGTTATATTAAGAATTTTTTTTGCAAAACTTACCCATCTCTCCAGAATATTATATCGTTTAAAACTCCCTTCATCTCTTGTAGTCACTGGTAAGAACTCCAGAGGAAGAATCATATCTCTTTTTCACATATTCTCCTCCTTCTCCCACACTGTAATCCCTTTCATGGTAGGTTATTGCCTCTTATCCCTTGGAAGCTCTGCAAAATAGACAGATTGATTTTCCACCACTGCTATAGGCTATTTCTATTAACATGTGAATAATATTTACTTTTTAGATATAATCAAATCACCCAAACAATGTTAAATGAATATCCTTGGTCTGGGGGAAACCCACAGACGTCAGGTCTAACATCTTTTAATGTTATCCATACAAACTTATGCATACAGGTACTAGAAATCATGCTTTAATATTAGACAGAGTTCCCTTCTTTCTGTGTTATGCTTTACAGGAAGAAGATCTCAAAGAGAGCAGCAGGATATTTCTGAATGTTTCAGTGTCAATTATAACATTTTAGGATTTTAGGAATCAGTGGTATAAACTATTTTAAATGATTCTACTGAAATCCAGTCTATTTCCTCCACAGGTCCTCATTATAATTTTGATAGAAATACAAGCAGAGTTATATTAGGAACTCACTTGAAGGGATGTATAAAAATGTCTGAGAACTCCTGTTAACTGAAGGCCATTGATGTGGTAAAACATAACAGCATGTCTCAAGAAGCTGTAGAAAACCATGTTTTGTTACGTACTTAAGGATATGTAACCTGGAAGTTGTCATCTAAATACATGGTCGCCTACCAGCTAGTACAGGGGAGGCTGTATTTGCTTATTTTACCCTTTCTTTTACTAAGAAAAGTCATTGCTTTTTTTTCCTTTCCTTCTGTTCTCTCTGTCTTTCTTAGAGAAATTTCTAGTAAAACCTTAGTCAGGGAAGATTTATGATTCTTTCCTTACAAAATAGTTTAATATGCAAAGTCCCACTGCATAAACTTTTTAGCAAAATCTCGGGAAGGCAGAATTACAGGGCATGACTTCCCGGATGCCTAGCTGTACTCTTTCAGAAGCACTTTCTGGCAAAAGTTTAATATTGCTGCGCCCTTGGATTTTTATACCTACTCTTTAACAGATTTGAACAATGGTTACAATATTTAGGGGCTACAAACTGACCTAGGATCTTTTTCTTATCCAGACTTCCAACCCCACCCCTTTCAAATTAAGCAGTAACAGATGTCTGACCACAGTTTCCCCAACACACACTGCTATCTACAAGCACACCAGCTACTGTGTCTTAAAATTCTGCCACTGGAAAATGGAGATCTGCATTACAGCTTTGGGTTCTTAGGTGAATCTATGTCACATTCACCTCTGGCTGCCATTCTGGGTCTCTTGCACAAGCTCTCACTGACTTGTATGCTCAAATGCTATTGAAAAACAGTAGAAAAATACTGTTAATAATTTGGATACATATCCTTGCAAAGCTCAGTTTTCATTTTGAAGGTCTTCAAGGGCAATACTTTCTTTTGTGTTTACTGAATGTTAGTGTTCAGTCCCTGCCAGACTACTTCTGGCATCTTGAATCTTTTCTTCACCCAGTTACATTGACTTCATGTTGGATATTGTAGTGATCTGAGGTAGTTGCAATGATTCTGAACGAACTGAGTAAAAATGAGTGAAAAATTTATCTTTGAAATAAAGATTGAGATTTTTCAATATAGAGTGCCTCAAAATTTATGTTGCATCTACCCTGGTAACACTTTACTATCATTGTGTCTCGTTGTTTAGGGAATTGTAGGCATCAGGTTAACAAAGTAATTTGCCTAAGATCATGCCAGAACTTGAACTAGAATGAGTATTTCCAGTCCTAAATGAGCATCTTGCAGCTTGAGGGGTAATCCTCAAGACTCAGAAGTGTGCATGGGATTCTCTGTGGTGGAATGGGGAACTACTGAAACCAAATTACAACCTGGCATCCACACGCATGCTGCAGAAAAAGCAGCCAAGTAAGGCCAGACAATATTTTGGCCTTGTTAATTATCTTTTGAGTTTCTCATGCCAATCTGTATTACTTTATAAAAGTAGCTCTTTTTGAAGACTTTTTGCATAGCTCTTTTTGAAGACTTTTCAGATTTAGTTACTTGGGGAAAAAGCTGACATTTTCACGTTTCTGAAAAATTTGGATGAACTTTTTTTGCGATATAGAAGATAGAAATTATACTAATTAATTAATCTCCTTCAACACTTTACATCATCAATACTCTCTTTAACTTGGGAAAGAAGAAAAGAAACATGTAACCTAAACTTTTTTACCCCATCTTAAATCTATAACAGCTAAATGGCTAATTTTTTTAAGTGTGTAATAAAACTTACTCTTAGGCTGAAACACTGTACTTCAGGTTCAAGATGAATCAAATTTTTACAGACAACCTGTTAGTCTCTAGGCCAAAAGTAGATAGGGTTGTAATGGAAATGCTGATGAGCCTTAATAAAGCAGCTCTACCAAATGTCAGAGTTTCATCTGCTACATGTACTACACTATATTACACCTCTTATACATACTGTAAGTGACAAGTGATCAAATCAAAATACCATCGAATACAACAAATATGTGTCACATAGGTGCAGAGATCTAAAAAAGGTAGTGAATGTGAGAAAATCTTTTATGGTCAAATAAGAATACCATTTTTTAAGACCTCCTTCTTGCAGTACAATTAATTACTGAGTTCATTAATTAATGAACGTAGTAGCAAAAGAACACCATTACTGACCAGTGGAGACCTGATATATTACTGAGTCAATAAACTATTGAACATGAAACAGGGCCTTTCAGGAGAATTTTTTCTCATAACCCACAAACACATATATTATTCTTGCATAGTCAGCACTTCTTTGGTACCCTTATTTCATATTACTAATTCTTTTAATCAGGCATACATAGAGCAGTGTTTTATAACCTAGCTAATGAGTAATTGGACAGGTGACATTGGGGCTGAGGACCTGAAGTGTCAGGCATAATAGAGCAGTTGTTTTTTTCCCCAGTAGGTCTGTAAAAGATTGTAAAAGAGCAATAGGATAGGAGGGATAAAGGACTCTTGTACTCGAAATTTGTCAGAGAAATACAGATATTAAGTGTATTCCTGAACTACAAATGTCTTTAAATTGCTGTCTAATGCAGATAAATAAGTAAAGAGATCAAACATTTAGAATAACTCTGAGTCTTTTTCATTGTCAGCAGCCAAGGAGTTTAACTTGGGCAAGCTAATGCTGAATGTAATTTTTTAAAGGCAGTATAGTTAAGATAATTATTTTTTTAGTACGGAAAAAGTGTGTGAATGTGTCTGTTAATTCCTTGGAAAAGGCAAGTGTCTTCATAATTCTTCAGGATCGCTGTGGCAATAGGTACCAAGCACCCTTCCTCCACCTTAGCCCCAAGTAATCATTGATTGCATCTAAATCTATAGAGATATCTTTTCCTGGCAGCTCTGGTAGTTACAGTAGATTGTTAATCTTTGAATGATCAGAATAAGCGTCCCCGTCTCAGAAATCTCCATGCAAATTACATCTAAATGCATGCCATAAATTTATTAGCAGCAGTTTGAAGTGCACAGGTCATCTTCTACACTATTTAAAAACATATGTCTGTTACATTATAAAGAGTCTCATTCAATTTATATTCACTTTTCTGTAGATGTAGCTAGCCCCTGCCAAAGTAAACCTGTGTCATTTTTGAAATAATTTTAAAAAGTAAGATGAGATATTAATAATGTGTATTATTTAAGCAAATTTGAGATCTCTGCATAGGACTGGAGTTTTAGAATTGCTACTCTGAAACAGAGAAATATATGTTTAACAAATGAGGAATGTTAGGAGCTAGAGGACTATGCCTAGTTACTAGAGAAAATGATAAATGCAAAGGAAAGTTACAGAATGTTTTATGAACCAGTCCTATTCTTGTACCTTGATCACTTTATCCTGTTTTGGGAACCCATCAAATACGTGACTCCTTTCTGCAACAGAGTTACTTCTTAGTTGAACCACATAAAGGAAACCTGAAAATAAGTTTGGGTACCACGGGAGAAGGGGAAACATATCTGTAGTTTTCCTACAGAATCCTCGTAGTACCACTTTTTTTTTTCCCTAAAGGAAATAGAGCAATTCTTTTAAAGATTTTAGGAATGTATTCAAATCCATGGGACATACTAACATATGTTTCTGAACGAAAATTAATTTCTACTTAAAAGAAAGAGCAGTGTTTTGGATGTTAGAAAAATGGGTTTTGCTATGCAGTTCATATCCTTAGAGCCCTCACAACAAATTTGTACTAGCAGGTAGAAATACATTAATATGTGTTTTTTGTTTCTTTTTCTAGGCTATTCGCTGTACACTGGTAAATTGCACATGCGAATGTTTTCAGCCAGGGAAGATTAACCTGAGAACCTGTGATCAGTGTAAACATGGCTGGGTGGCACATGGTAAGAAATGTCTGTTTCAGGTTTGTTTTTTCTATTCTGTCTATCTTTACCAGTATCTCTAAATAGTAAGAACTGGAGTGATATAGAGAGTAGTTATACCTATTTGTGCACACTTGCATGTGTGCACAGACTGGGTTTGTAAATGCATGTGCTTTTTTTATGGCAATTTGTAGGATGAAAAAGTAATAGTCTGTTATTCTGGCAATAGCTTCAAGTGCTTCTAGAGTTCAACAGCTTGTGTACAGCTCAAAAGAGTATTCTAGCCTTCAGGAAATAATGTAGTTCTAGCAGAGCTTAACAGAAAGGCAAGAAGTTTACAGAATGGTTGCACAGCAGAGTTTGTCTTGCAAAGAGGCATCAACCAAAAAGTCACAGGGCCTAATGGAAGTTCAAACATACCAGTGTTGAACTTGCAGATCTCACGTTGGGATGAGTGTATTTTATATGGCTCCACGAAATTGTGCGTACATGATCTGTGAGTTGAACAGCTCTTCCCATGTTTAAGTAAAGAAAGAAAGAAGGGATTAGAATGCCCAGATTCTATATATAGGCATGAAAATTCCATTTTATTTATCCTTTCCTACTTTGTGTATTTCGTGGAGTTTTTTTTCTGGACAGTCATGATTAAACTAGCAAGAGAGAAAGAGAGCGCTGTATACACCATTAGAAGGCAAATAAGGAGGATACCTAAAATGGTTTAATGAAAAAAAAGAGAAGGGCTAGGGGAGAAGGGGACAGAAAGATTGCTATGTTTGCAGAAGAAATTACTGTTGAAGTAATTTTTTTCTCATGGTCTAGGCTATTGGCACCAAAGCAAGCAAGTCCTCTTTCCCCACTTCTATAAGACATTAAGGCTTCTATTCTATGAATTTTATTTTATTTTGATTAGACCTTGAGTAGAAGGTACTTGATTCCCAGGCTGACGTATGACAAGTGTGAATGCTCAACAAATTCAGCAGCACAGACTGACTTAGAATCTTTTAAAATCTTCATAGAAATGGAAAGGGAAGCAGGTAATAATGCTTACAGCCTGCCTAGAACACCACCAAACTGGTAGCTGGTTGCAGATTTATTATATACTAGATTATCTAAGGATATAACTAATATTTGCTCCCCTTATTTCCCAGAAAAATATCTTCAGTCACAGTATAACCGGTTCACATTTCTTGGAAGAATTGCTAAACCTCACAGAATTTGTATAGTTCAGGCTTGCTTCAGGTTTTGTGTAGAATCAGCATCTGAGATTTTGCTGATCCACAGATAGGGAAGCACTGTCTAGCTTTTTTGCAAGGTGTCCTCCAGTTGAACAATAGAAATCGGGAGTCTAGCACTTAGATTCTGGCACCTGAGCATCTTGAGTTTTCATGTTAATTGGTACATCTTACAAGAGTGCAGTCAGATTTTCCTGATAAATTCTTCCCTATGAGGTGATTGAATTCAAAGTCAGAGTATATGACAGTAATCTGAGATTACCACAGTGTGTATTATAGAAATGTCCCTGTTTACCAATCCAGAAAGTTTAAAGGTGAATGTGATGATTAGGGATACATCACCTGCTCCCATATCAGAGTGCTTAACATTCCAAATGGAAAACTTAATACAGCCATATATTATTAGAAAGTATTTGGTTTTTTACTGTGCAAAGTGAATGATGCTCTGATTTTTTTTTTTTTTTTTTTAGTGTGCTTTGTGTACATTCATCTGGAGTATTTACATTTTATGGCAGAATGAGACAAGTCAGATTTTATATACATAAAGCACAGGTGTATAAATTACTTTCTGGATTTCAAAGTGACTGAATCAGATTACTGTTCAGAAATTGTTTTCTTAAAACCGTTAGCATGGTACTTTCAGAAGTTCTTTCTTGAATGCAAATAGTATTTCCTGCTGCTTTAATTAAAGGGTTTCCTTCTGATTTTTATTAATGATTTTCAGCTCAGCTCCTTGACGCATGTTGTAGTGCTTTATTGAATATAATTATCAAAGAATAGGTGTTTCCAACAGTAAGTACTGTGCTTATTCAGTTCTGATACTGAATAGATCAAAAAATAGCTTGGAATGGCAGTCTTTTCGTGATGCACTTGACTCATCTGTGCAGAATTAACTCATGTTAAGAGGTGCCATTTAAAATGTTGGAATTCTTGGCTTGAGGAGGAAAGGGCATACATTCACTACTGTGTTATTGTACTTAGCAGCTGCTCACCTGTTTTCTTCTTTCCTGTTTCCATTGTCTTTCTTATGTGTCCCTCGCTTACCTGAAATAAACTGCACACATCTTGAAAAGAAAGGTTTCCTACAGGTTCAGTTTCATCTGTCTGGAGTTGCCAAAAGCAGGATAGTAAATATATGAACAGATACATTTGAGAAGTGCTTTTGTGGCAAGATAAATATTTCTGTTGACAAAAGTTCAGCTTATCAAGTTTTTGAGCCCTGTGTCGTTGTGGTAATCAGTGTTTTTAAGGCCAAAACCAAAAGCTGTGCAGAGCATAGCAGCATTATCAAGTACTTATTAGACTTCAGGCAGGCAAGCAGATAAGTGTCTTTCCTTCCTTTTTTTTTTTCAATGGTTAAGATACTTTGTATAGTCCATATGGTGGAAAATAAAATCTTATTAAAATCTTAATAGTTTTTTAAAGAGAATTCATTTTAACCCAGGCAATTGGTATTTTGTGGCTTTTAAACCATATGGGAGTAAGATGACTTCAACACATAGTCAAAGTTTTTTTGGAAATAAAGAAAAAAAACACTTTATTTGCTATGCACTTCCTCTAGCAAAAGTATCTTAACCTGTGAGGAAAGAAATTAGGCAAGTCTGCAGTAAAAAGATGTTGATTTCATTGACTCTGCATTTTGCCTTGTATGCATGTCATTGATATCAGAATAACAACTACCATACTGCTAGCAGAAATACTCTTATTATACCTTGTCCAACAGATCAAAAGACCCAATGCAGTATCAATGGGAAATACAGTCTACCCTCTCATAACTCTTTTGCTCTGAAAAGGTGTGCCAAGGCCACATATATCACAGTAGACTAAAGCTATTATTTCTGACATTCATTCTACTTATTTTAGTTTCAGTATCCCCACAAAAATACCCTCTCGCTGTATATTAGTATTACTAAATTTGTCTGAAATCATTGTCACTTTGTTTCGAAGAGAGTCAGAAAATTAGAAATACCACTTTTCTGTCTTACCCTGAAAAAGGTCACTGATAAAACTCAGCAACAGCATGTTTTTCAGATGTTTTGGTATACTGTGCATACCTGGAGTAGCTGAATTTTACACTGTTCAATCTACCTTAGGAAATTAAGTATCCTGTGAACACTGTGGTGTTTCCCTTCTTTTTTTTTTTCCCCTCTCTCAGAGAAAGCTGATCTTTAGTCCTCTAGGGGTTTCGGATGTCTTTTCGTCTGCACCGTGCCAATCAGTACAGCTCAGGGATAGGGTATTTATTCAGGTAAGTTTTAGTACCTCTCAGAGGTATGACGAGGCCACATACAGCCCCATCCAAGACTGGGCCAGGCCTTCTCTCTGGTAGCTTTGAGATAAAGTTCCTCTCAGTTTTAATGAAGAAGACATTAACTGGTAGATTTTGGCACATACGGCACATCCATTACTTTTTTTTTTCCAGACTAAAAGCTGCCATACAGTGAATACACATGCCATGTGAGTTACACCTTGTGAAGGAAGTTTTCTGCTGCTAATATTTATTTAATGCATGTGCTAGGTTGCTGTAAATGAGACTAAGAATGAAAAGAACAGCCTCCACTAGAAAATGGAAAATGTCATAAAGTCAGATGCATGACATAACTGTGACTTCTTCATTCAGAATGGTTGAGTTTTCTGAATTTCCACATGGTAGGTCATGAAGCTGTCAGGTAAAAGAAACATGAATTGAGGACAAAAGAAAGGAATGACAGGTAGAAATAAGAAGAGAAACAGAAGAATGCTGTGGAAATTTTAGTAATAACATCTCTCTCTCTTAACTTGAAGTTTCTGAAAGGACTTGGTTCATGAAGAAGGTTTATATTTTAAATGTGAACTGTGTGGAAATGAGACAAGAATGAAGATGAGTGCTATGTTGAAATAAAATTTAGCTGAGTTGCTACATTTGTCTCAGTCCAAAGCTGTTAAGTGAAAGAAATCCAGGTTTGCAAAGTCAGAGATAATCCCTAACAAAATAAAACAAAACAATCTTTAGAGTCTCTCTAAATGTTGACAAAACTGCCATGTTGTTCTTTTCTTAAAAATGGAGATTTTTATGAAGAGAGTAAATTAAAAAAAAAAGAGAAATTTAATCCTATGATTATAGTTGAGTAGTAAAATAATCAGGTTATTTCTATATTGTTCCTTTGGATATAAAAAATAGTCACAATTTATCATATCAAACACACTTGTTTGCTTCCATTCAATCTATTTAATTAGTTGAAATGCTTTAAAATTACTTGAGAAAATCACGAGAACATGTTTCTTCCTCTTTTTTTTTTTAGTTATATAGAGACTTTTAGCAAACTAATTCTCAACAATTCATTGATAATGAAAGCTAGCTTTTCATGACTTTTAAAGTAAAACTCTTTTAGATCTAGTCTGGCTTTTCCTGTCTTTTACTGACAAAATCATTTTAATCCATCTGTTACAACTTTCTTTTGACCCTGAAGGCTGAGGCATATTTTTCATTACTAAGTTGCTTCCAGGAACCTTACAAGATTAACATTCATTACTGGTAAACACTTTTTTAAGTGCCCGTCTTCTGCTTATGCTATTCCTTTTTGATTCCCTTCAGCAGGATTTCCCAAAGCAGCCAATGCAGCACAGAGAAAATGCACTCTGTTATCTTGTGGGTACTCTGATCCAGTACTTATTTTTAAAGTCTACCATATTCTTAGGAATGATGTGATGTAGTGTTTGCTTTGGGTTACTCTGATATGACCCTTAATGCAAGTCATGCTGAGATAAAAGCAAATCCAGGTATTAGGGCATCCAAGACAAATAATACTG